TTTTTTTTTTTTTTTTTTTTTTTTTTTTTTTTGGCAAGAGGTCAGTCGTAAGGCTGCAGCTGCAGGTGGTAGTTGCAGGTCTTTTGATGGAAGTTTGTTGCTGGCCTGGAGTTGGTTGGCTAAGCAGTTTCTGAGATGGTGTCCTGCTGTAGGATGGTTGTAGATGTTACAAGGTTAGTTGTAAGGTGTTGATTGACAGAAGTAGGTCACCCAAAATTGGGGGGGCATTAATCCATGTTACTGGACGTAGAATGGTTCTGGTGGTATCCATTCTTCTAACTCTTCTCGGAGGTCACTCAGAATTCTTGGTTGAGGGAAAATCTTGTGGATGAAGCATCGGACTCTTTGTTGGAGGGTCATTCTTTGGGGTCTGTGGGGAAGGTAGTTGGTGTAGTCGGTAGTGTTTGTTGGGGTGGGTTCTCTCTGTCAGGTACATAGAGTTCCTGCATGTCATATAGTTGTCTCTTCTTTAGTTTGTCTAGCCTGACATTAATTACAGTGATTCTCTGTTGTATGTGCAGGTCTTCTGTCCTGATTCTGTCTCTGAATCTTGTGCCATTGATGAAGCAGAGGGCTCTGTTTTGGACTCTTTGGAGTTTTACCATGTTGGCTTTAGTTGTCCCTCGAATTTCATCATCCCCTTTCTGTTTTTGTTTGAATAAAAATTCAAAATAGAAAGCAAGAGTAATATCAGAGGGGCCTGGAGATGCGACTGATGAACAAAGAAAATGTTATTTTAGAGCCAGGAATGTCTGCACTGCTCATTCTGGAGCCTATTTTGAAATTGTCATATTTTTTAATTTTTGTGAAATTGGCTAAATTGCCAATTTCTGACCAGGTTATTGGGTAGTTGGTCAGTAAATGGGCAGTTTCTTGTACTCAATCGATAGAAAAAATGGAGTTCTAAAGAAATAACTATGAGTTTGGTCGACTGGAACAATGGAATTAGCCGAAAATAGGGTTCAAAGTGGGTGAAATCGCCAATTCGTAAATATCGCCGAGGTCGCTAAATTTGTGAGAGCATAAGTCCGTCAGTTTTCCATCAAATTTCGTTCTTTTGGTGTCATTACAATCGGGAAAATATCCTCTATCATTTCATAAGAATATATATATTATATATTATTTATATTTATATATATATATATATAATATATATTAGTATATATATTATGTATATATATTATGTATATAATATATGTATTATATATATTATATATAATATATATATATTATATATATATATATATATATATATATATATATATATATATATATATATATATATATATATATATATATATATGCAGTAAGATCACAGTAAACAGGTGATTTCAGAATATGCAAAACAACCACTCTGAAAGAATAGAGAAATTCCAAGCGCTTTCGTGACTACTCACATTATCAAGGAACTATGAAAGTAAAGCATCCAAGGAAGCTATATAAGGGTCTGGCCAGCACCTCACTATCAGATCCCACAACGGTTAAACACCTGACGCGCGCCGACCCAACTTGGATAGGTCCTTTGCACAACTCACCCCACAAACTATTCTACCCAAGAAAATTTAAAAATTATTTGTCCAGTGTATTATTAAATTCTTCCCAAATTCTATTAATTATAAATGGATCTAATTTATATAAACCAAAGGAAATATTCATATTATTGTCAAAACTGCTTTTTATGAAACAAGATTCAATTATATTCCTGTCGACCATGGACTTGCTTGATACTACTATCTCAACTTTTTGAAAATCAATTGGATGGTTAAAATCTCTTACATGAATAAATAGAGCATTGGAATCTTGTCCAGTTCTAATGCTATATTTATGTTGTTTTAATCTTAGTTCAAGATTTTTACCAGTTTGACCGTAATAACCTTTATCGCAAATTTTACAAGGAATCTTAGACACATCCATCAGCATTTTGGGGGGAATTCTTTATCAAAAGTTTTTTTTTTTACTGTATCAAGATTTTTGAATACAACTTTAATATTAAAAGTCTTAAGAAGAGAAGGCATATCAACCAAGTTTTCATGGTAAGGGAGAACCAACATATTTTTAGTTGAATAAGGCTGGTTGTCTCTTTTTGGATTGTAAAAAGTATTTCTAGCAACTTTAAAAGATTTATCAATTACATTTCTTGGGTATTTTAAATCATTACCTATTTCATAAATTTTGGATATTTCCTCATCTATGAACTCAGGACTACAAATTCGTAAAGCTCTCAAAAACATTGATGAGAAAACAGACAGTTTGACTCTATCTTGATGCGAAGAATAATAGTGGACATTGGAACAGTTATTTGTAGGTTTTCTGTAAATTTTAAATTTGAATTCATTATTACCCTTAATAATTAAAACATCTAGAAAAGGCAATGAGTTATTTTCTTCAAACTCAACAGTAAAGTTTATAGAATGGGCTAAGCTATTTAATTTTCCAAGGAAATGGTGTATATCTACATTTTTGGGCATAAGACACAAAATATCATCAACATATCTGAACCATTTAGCTCTATTAGGGAGGATTGTGTTAAGCAACCTTGTTTAAAAAAAATCTATGTATAGGTTACTAAGAACAGGTGAAAGAGGATTTCCCATTGCCATACCAAAGTTTTGAGTGTAAAACTTATCATTAAATACAAATTTTGCATCAACAATGCAAAGTTTAATAAGTTTAATGATAGGAACTGGCAATGGTAAATCATAGTTAACGAGTTCTTCAGATAAGAAACTTAATAAATCATCAACAGGAACTTTCGTAAACAAGGAAGTAACATCAAAACTAACCATGTTAAAATCATTTAAGCCAGTCAAGGAGCTTAATTTATCAACTAAGTCTGTTGTTTTTAACATTAAAGTTAGAAATTTTGCCAACAATAGTTGATAAATTAAGCTCCTTGACTGACTTAAATGTGTAAATAATAAATTGTGTAAATAATATCACCACATTTGTGAACGTATATTAGACCCACCAGCTGGCGTGTATTAGACGTGTGAGGTCATTTGTTTACTCTTGAACATCAGCAAAAAATTAACATTTCTGCTACTTTGAGCTCAGTTTCAAGCCATTTCCATTACTAAAACCAATCAAAATCATCTATAAACAATGCAGGCATTCCTGGCACTAAACTAACATTTCCTCTGTTCATTAGTTATGTTTTCAGGCTTTACAAACGAATTCCATTTTGATTTTTTATTCACATAATGAATTTTTATTCAAACCAAAAAATAGATTTACTGTTATGCAGTATTGTAATAATTGTGTAAATAATATCACCACATTTGTGAACGTATATTAGACCCACCAGCTGGCGTGTATTAGACGTGTGAGGTCATCTGTTTACTCTTGAACATCAGCAAAAATTTAACATTTCTGCTACTTTGAGCTCAGTTTCAAGCCATTTCCATTACTAAAACCAATCAAAATCATCTATTTCTGTAATATATCTTCCATTCTATCAAATGAGACCAAGAAATCACAAATACAACTATAAAAAACATGCGAGAAAACACTGAAATGTCGCTGTTTTGATTGAAAATTCTCTCATTATGCACTGTGTGCACACATACCACATAGATGTATTCTCTCATATCTAGACCCAAATTTACCGCTCACAGCTTATCAGAGTGAGCTGAGCTCATGGCATAGATCTATGGTTTGGACCCTGAAAGGGTTAAAAAAAAAATGAGAAAGATATCCCTCTTCTGTAACAAACTTTTTCAACTGAAGTGGATAAGCTTTAGGAGCTTCCTCATTAACACTGGAAGCCTCACCATGTGAAACTCTCGAACCACACTTTGCTAGCTTTAAAATCATTATAGAGAGTAGTATCACTACTTTAGGGTGAATGATGTCTTAAATTATCATAAATTTGTCTTTTCACACTTACATCTCACAGATGTAACTGAAAACACTGAATCTCCCTTCATCTGCTACTTTTTTATCCACAATAACAACAGTCTTTCCATCTCTCTGATAATTTCTCTGCCTTTTTTTCACCAGCTTAGACTTGTCAGCCACTTAAATATTCCTTATAATTTTGTTTTTGCTTAATAATAATAGAGATGGTTGATTGTGGAAAACCATACTCATGTACCAATACACTAATTCTAACTTCATCCTGTTTTTCACAATTTCTTGCTTAATCTTCAGAGAAATAACCCTTTTTCTATGCTCTTTAGGGGCCGTGATGACTTAGTAACACAAAGATGGCATAATTAAATAACAAATCAGTTATGATGGGTAAATAATCCAGAGTTGGTGCAGACAACACATGTGATAGCTTCAAACTGAAGAGGAAATAAGAAATTGTACTACAAATGCTGGTATTAGCTGAGATGCTAAACAAGAGACATTTGTTCTCATCACTTATTGGCTGCTTAGCCACCCCCACAACCCCATTGACACTCCCAGTGGCTCAGACGCTGCCCAAGAGGCAAGTTTCCACATCACTGGTTGGCTGAGGTCAACCCACATGTGCTGACTATTGTCTGCTTGTAACTCAAATTTTTCACCACAACTTAAGATAGTTAAAGCTAAATTCCTTTGAAAGTAAATCGTAACTTAAAATTATCGTTACTGATGACCATCGTAACTCGGAAGATCGCTGTATTTCCTTTCTCACTGTAGACGTTACTGTGCCTGCTATTTACTCTTTGATATCCCATGACCTTGGGTAGAACTAGCTCGAACAAGGCACCCAGTGTTAAGATATTGAAGATTATGAAGTACAACTCCAAGTTACGAGACTTCTGTAGTATGGTGACCACACTGCTGTACATCCACTCCATTTCATAAATTGTAAATGATGTGACACATGAAATTGGTTATAGTACTGTAATTCCTTACCATAACTATTATTGTATTACCTGGAGTTTACCTGGAGAGAGTTCCGGGGGTCAACGCCCCCGCGGCCCGGTCTGTGATCAGGCCTCTTGTATTGTTGAATTTCATGTCCTGAACTTTGATTTCTGTTTATAATGCTTAGTGATTTTTAAATAAAAATATTTTTTTTTATTTCAGGCACTGGAGAATCTGGTAAATCCACATTTATCAAACAGATGCGTATTATTCACGGGGCTGGTTACAGCGATGAAGATAAGAGAGGGTTCATCAAACTGGTCTTCCAGAATATTTTCATGGCCATGCAGTCTATGATTAGGGCCATGGATCTCCTACAGATATCGTATGGAGATTCAGCTAACATTGTAAGTTGTGCTTTCAGATTTTGAAATTTTTCTATTGAATTTAAATTAGTGTTTTTATACAATAAAATTTATTAACATTTCTGTATGCACTGTTTTGTGTGTGACGTCTTGCCTGAAATTTTGTTTATCACACTTTGATACAGTGGAACATACTTTGCACCATTGACCATCTGTGACTGAATTAAGATAACCCGACCTCCCCTTCCCTATACAATATACAGTGGTCCCTCAATTATCGTCCTTAATCCGTTCCTGGAAGTGGGATTATTATCGAAATAGACGATTTTCGAGTAAATTTTCCCCATAAGAAATAATGTAAATACAATTAATCCATTCCTGAGACCCAGAAGTATTACAACAAAAATTTTTTTTAAATGAAATATAGATGTAGTACATAAACAATACAATGGGACATGATGAATGAAACATTAACAACATAACACTTATCTTTATTGGCGATTCTTCTTAGTGTATGGAAGACTGGAGGAGGAGAGAGTAAATTACTGTTTGGAAGGGGAATCCCCTTCCATCAACACCTCAGGTACCAAGTGCTTTTCTGGGGTTACTTCTCTTCTCTGTTTCTTAATGCTACTAGGACCAGCTTGAGAGTCACTGGAGTTCTGTCTCGCAAAAAAAAAACTGTCCAGAGAGCTCTGTTTCTGGCGTCTCTTAACCCTTTGACTGTCACGGTCGTATATATACGTCTTACGAGGTACCGTGTTTGACGTATATATACTCATAAATTCTAGCGGCTTCAAATCAAGCAGGAGAAAGCTGGTAGGCCCACATGTGAGAGAATGGGTCTGTGTGGTCAGTGTGCACCATATAAAAAAAATCCTGAAGCACGCAGTGCATAATGAGAAAAAAACTCCGACCGTTTTTTTTTAATTAAAATGCCGACTTTGTGGTCTATTTTCGTATAGTATTTATGGTTGTATTCTCGTTTTCTTGGTCTCATTTGATAGAATGGAAAACATATTATAGAAATAGAGGTGATTTTGATTGATTTTACTATAAAAAGAACCTAGAAATGGAGCTCAAAATAGGGGAAATGTTTGATTTTTGCCAATGTTCAAAAGTAAACAAATGATGCCATTGTCCAATAAATGTCCAACTAGCCATTCTAATATGCAGTCATGAATGGGTTGATGTTATTTATACAATCATTACAGTATTGCAGTAGTCTGCATAATAGTAAGTCTTCTATTTTTTGTTTGAATAAAAATTCAAAATAGAAAGCAAGAGTAATATCAGAGGGGCCTGGAGACGTGACTGATGAACAAAGAAAATGTTATTTTAGAGCCAGGAATGTCTGCAATGTTCATTCTGGACATTATTTTGAAATTGTCATATTTTTTAGTTTTCGTGAAATTGGCCAAATTGCAAATTTCTGACCACATTATTAGGTAGTTGAAATCGGTAATTGGGCAGTTTCTTGTACTCAATCGATAGAAAAAATGGAGTTCTAAAGAAATAGCTATGAGTTTGGGCGACTGGAACAAGGGAATTAGCCGAAAATAGGGCTCAAAGTGGGCGAAATTGCCAATTTGTAAACAGCGCCGAGGTCGCTAACTTCGTGAGAGCATAATTCCATCAGTTTTCCATCAAATTTCGTTTTTTTGGTGTCATTACAATCAGGAAAAGATTCTCTATCATTTCATAAGAAAAAATAATTTTTTTTTTTTAAATTTTGCGACACCAGGACACACCTCAGGATTGGGGGTTGCAACAGTCAAAGGGTTAAACACTTTCAGGGTCAAAGGCCAAAATCTGAAGTGGTGCTTCAGTGTCCAAGAAATTTTGAAAAAAAAAAAAAAAAAAAAAATTCTTACAGAATTAGAGTATATTTGTGTGAAGGTAATAAGACAAAAAAAAAATTCTGATCAGTACTTACCGAGATACAGTGCCAAGAAGTTTACCCAAAATGACTGGGTGGCGGCAACATCGACGATTTCCACATACGCGCATTATTTAATGTTTTTTGTAGTTTTTTCCTTTCTAATTTTTTTCTTTTCCTACTAACATTTGGGGCCTGAGAGACTAATACTACAGTTCTCAAAATATCAAGGGTCTCCCCGATCCATAAAGAAGGAGACCACACAGACTAGAATAACTATAGGCCAATATCCAACTTACACCCTCTCTCTAAAATCTTTGAAAAATTAATCCATAAGCGTATCTATTCCTACCTCATCTCCCACAACATACTCAACCCCTGTCAATTTGGATTCAGGCCTAATAAAAATACTAATGATGCTATTATCCACATGCTAGAACATATTTATTCAGCAATAGAGAAAAAAGAAGACCCACTGGGGATCTTCATTGACTTACGTAAAGCTTTCGCTACAGTTAACCACGACTTGCTCCACGTAAAATTGTCGCACTATGGTATAAGAGGGCACTCCCTCAACTACCTAAAGTCATACCTCAGCAACAGAAGCCAATATGTGTACACAAATGGGGCAAACTCTTCTGCACAGCCAATTACAGTTGTTGTCCCACAGGGAAGTGTCCTAGGCCCTCTTCTCTTTCTCATATACATAAATGACCTACCAAATGCATTACAGCTACTCAAACCCACACCATTTGCAGATGACACTACATACGTCTACTCTCACCTGAGCCCAGTCATGCTAGCCAATACAGTGGACCCTCGCATAGCGCTATTAATCCGTTCCTGAGAGCTCATTGTTATGCGAAATTATCGTTATGCGAATTAATTTTCCCCATAAGAAATAATGGAAATCAAATTAATCCGTGCAAGACACCAAAGTATGGAAAAAAATTTTTTTTTACCCACATGGAAATATAATTTAATACACACAAATGAAGAAGACATGCACAGGTTACATGACACTTACTTTATTGTAAGATTGGTGATGATGATGGATGGGAGGATGGGGGGACGTGTGATCCATCTTAGTGTTAGGGGGAATCCCCTTCATTAGCTTGAGGTGGAAAAAGTCCTTTCGGGATACTCCCTTCTTCTTTAATGCAATAGGACCAGCTTCAGAGTCACTGGATTGTTCGCACAGGCAATATCTGTCCATAGAGGAGCCTGTTACCCTCTCTCCTTTATGACTTTCCTAAAGTGTTTCACAACATTGTCAGTGTAATAGTCACCAGCACGGCTTGCAATAGCTGTGTGAGGGTGATTTTCATAAAAAAGGTTTGCACTTTAAGCCACATTGCGCACATTTCCTTAATCTTTGAAGTAGGCAACTTCTTCAATTTCTCTATCCCCTCCTCGCGAGCAGTTTCCTCAGGTGTGGCCTCTTACTGTTGAAGATGATCTAGCAGCTCATCAGTGGTTTGTTCTTCATTGTCCTCCTCCACCAACTCTTTCACATCCTCCCCACTAACCTCACCAATATGAGCACTAGTTCCTGGCATTTTTTCCTGTTCACCTGGGTGTTAGTCAACTGTGGTGGGTCGCATCCTGGGGGACAAGATTAAGGACCCCAATGGAAATAAGTTACAGTCCTCGATGATGCACTGACTTTCTTGGGTTATCCTGGGTGGCTAACCCTCCAGGGTTAATCGTTTCTCGGTAATTGTTTCACGTTAAGCCACACCAACAACACACTCTCCACATCTTCGAGTAATACAGCTGATGGTGGTGCAGCAACAACAACAGCTGACTGTGGTGCAGCAACAGCTGACTGTGGTGCAGCAACAGCTGACCATGGAGCAGCAGCAGCTGTGGTGCAGCAACAGCTGGACCATGATGCAGCAGCAGCTGTAGTGCAGCAACAGCTGACCATGGTGCAGCAACAGCTGACCATGGTGCAGCAACAGCTGACCATGGTGCAGCAGCAGCTGTGGTGCAGCAACAGCTGACTGGTCCAGTAACAGCTGACCGTGGTGCAGCAGCAGCTGACTGTGGTACGATAGTATTTATCACCCTTTTTACACAGGGTTGGCACTAGAAGCTTTCTTTGGGCCCATGGTGGCTTATTTAGCAGTTACAAGCACTATAAATAATGGAATAATACAAAATGTATTGAATGTATGCATGCAACCGGCCCACCCTGGCTTGTAAACAATGACAGCAAGGCAGGCGCTCAGGCTGGACGGACTGGTTCTGGACGAGTCATGTTCAGAAACAGCTGATGGTGGTGCAACAACTGCTGACCGTGGTGCAGCAGCAGCTGACTGATCCAGCAACAGCTGACTGGCCCAGCAACAGCTGAACGTGGTGCAGCAGCAGCTGACTGATCCAGCAACAGCTGACTGGTCCAGCAACAGCTGAACGTGGTGCAGCAGCAGCTGACTGATCCAGCAACAGCTGACTGGTCCAGCAACAGCTGAACGTGGTGCAGCAACAGCTGACTGGTCCAGCAACAGCTGACCATGGTGCAGCAGCAGCTGACTGATCCAGCAACAGCTGACCATGGTGCAGCAGCAGCTGACTGATCCAGCAACAGCTGACTGGTCCAGCAACAGCTGACTGGTCCAGCAACAGCTGACCGTGGTGTAGCAGCAGCTGACTGTGGTATGATAGTATTTCTCACCCTTTTTACCACAGGGTTAGCACTAGAAGCTTTCTTGGGGCCCATGGTCACTTATTTTTCAGGTGAAATCACTATAAAAAGGCTGTAATAATACGAAATGTTCCGATTGTATGCTTGAATGTTACCGCGGAGGCTGGCTTGTAAACAATGCCACTAGCAGAACAAGTGAGGCTGGCTCAAGCCGCATGTATGGACATGTCTCGGACGAATCGCGTTGAGCTAATTTTTTAACACTATGCAAGGCAAAATTTTAGCGATAAAATGTATCGCTATGCGGATTTAACACTATGCGATGCCAATGTTATGCGGGGGTCCACTGTACTGTAAATACCGAATTTACAAAAAATATAAACCCTGGGTGAGGACCAACAAACTTACTCTAAACATTGAAAAAAACCTACTACATTCAGTTTGGTAACAGAGCTGCAGATGTGTCTCTTAACATAATGATAAATGGATCACCTATCACAAAACTCACAAAGG